AGCGGTGCCACCGCCCGTCGTGGTGCCGCGCAAGACGTCCATTCGGCCCTCAAACAGAGGCACCCCAAACGCAGTTACGTTCAGGAAGCCCCAAGACGGCCTCGCTTGTACCTCGTGAACTACTGGAAGGAGACGGCAAACAGAAGTTCTTTTTTTCTTCAAACAAAAGACAGAAAACTGGGGCGTGGCAGCCGCTCCCTCGCCCTCCGCGCGTGCGGGGCGTGGCAGGTTGGGCCGGGCGAAAAGGGGACGGCCCCCAACCGTCCCGAATCCCCCGATGCACCAGCAAAAAAAAGACGTCTTCGCCCCGCCGCAAAGAGCCCTCTGCGCACCCCTCCCCCCGTTCGCGTGCGCGCAGCTGTCGATTGCCCAGCCGCCAAGAGAAAAAAAATTAAAATTAAAATTAAACTCATCGTGAGTTTTTTAAAAAAAAACAGTTGGAGGGAAAAAAATGTTTTCCTTTTTTTTTGTTTTCTTCGTTGCGTCGCCCGCGCGGCGTCACTTTTTTGTCGCTGCCCCGCTCCCGCCCTTCGCGCCTCCCCCAACCTCCGAAATAAATTTAAAAAGTGGTGTTCGGTTACAAGTTCCCTTTTGCCGTGCTGATTCCATTCGTCCCACCCGAGCAGTTGAATTGTTGTCGTTGCCGTTTTAGTTGTTCTTAAGCAAGAGGGCTGTGAGGGGGGAGGAGGGAGGAGGTGCGTGGGGTCACGCCCACTTGCCAAGAAGCGTCATGACGGTCGCCCCTCCCCACAGCGCCAGAAGCATTCCAAACCGCTTCCAGCCACGCTGCGCCGCAGCCCCGCCGGCAAACTCCCGCAGGTCTGCCCGGAAGTCGTTGAGGAGAAGCGTGAAGCCCAGGTACAGCAGGATGCCGCCGCACACCGAGTCAATCACCGCCTGCACCGTGACGAAGGTTGTGCCCGTCAGGGAGATATTGGAGGTCGTCACGACGACGACCCCCACCACGGTGCCCAACGGCACAGAGACGGCGTAGATAATCGTCATCAGCAGCTCCAGCTTAAAGTTCATCGACGCGTCCGCCAGACGTGAGCCCAGTGCAAGCCCCTCAAAAATCTGGTGGAACACCAGCGCCACAAGCAATGCACGCGTCTCGGCATCATGCGCAATCCCCACAGAAAGGCCCAAGAACACACTGTGCGAGGCCAAGCCGAACTCCATGAATATCGCTGCAACGACACTTTTCGCACTGTTGAGGCGCGCGGCGGCAAGGGCCCCATGGTTGTGGCATCCCGCACCCGACAGCTCCTGCCCGCTGGGCACCGCATCCACATCAGGCATCTCGGCTCCCTCCAGTTGGGATGTAGTCCCGCTTGTGTTCCCCTTTTCCCAACTCTCAAGCATGAAATCCATTAGCACATCCAATGCATGCATCAGCATCGCCGCAAGCATCGCGAACGCAAGTGAAAATGCATCAAATGACTCCCGCAGCGAGGGTGACACGCAGTCCTTCATGAACCCAAGAACGCCATTGTGCATCATGTGCACCATGGCAACCGCCATCACCACCCCAGAGGAGATGCACTTGCCGATGACAACAACGAAAGGATGCAGGCTAAGGCAGGAGATGTACTTGCCTATCAGCGGAAGCATCGTCCCAAGAAGAGACGCTATCAAAAGCGCAAAGATTGCCACAATGTGGAGTGCAACGGTGTATCCACCTTTGGATGCGGCGCAAGCCAGCTCGGGGTGGGCGGCAAGCTGTGCCATGGAAGCCGGTGACTGCGGAAGCTCCGTCCCTTCCAACATCGAGGCGCGGCTTGCGAGGAACGCTTAGTTTTACGCGACGCCGCTCACCAAGGAAAATGTGTCCTTGTTTTTTTTTTAATGCTTCTTCGTTTTTGTCTCTTTGGCAGCAGGTGGGGGTGGGGGAAGAGCAGAGGCCCCGGGGTGAGTGAAACCGCCCGCACGCATTGATCGCAAGCCACAAGGGCATATTCGCGGCGGCACGCCGCTCACACGCACACACGCACACACAAAAAAGACGCATGTGTGAGCGCCGGCTGCCCGGCGAGGCGAAGAGCCCGGCGACCACTCGAGGCGCGCCGCCAAACGCAAGGCTGCGTAAATTACAAACAAATATGCCGGCCGCGTGGAACAAAAGTAGCACAAGAACTGAGCCGGCCCAATCCACGCCCCACGTTTATTTTTTGAAGTACACTATTATTACCAATACTAATAACAGGACAATCCCGTTTTCCCTTGTTGCCCTTCCCCAGCAGAGGGAGTCTCAGTGCCTGCGCCGCACCGACAAGAGCCACGGAGAGGGAGAGAGCAGAGGCAACTATCGGGGCAGTTCTCCTCCCAGGGAACTGTTACGCCCCCCACCCCACCCTCTGCTTCTCCAACGTCCGTTGGGCGTCTCGTTTCCTCCGCCCCCCGCGGGGCCACCGCAACGCACCCCCCTCACAACACTCACGGCCGGGGCGAAACCGAGCTGGAGGGGGAGCGAACACGCGGCCCCAAATTCAACACGATGCCTTGGGTACATTTTCATTACTGTTCTTTTGCCTCCCTTTTCTTTTTTTCGGTTCCGTTACACCCTCATTCCCATTAGTTTTTCATCAAAATGGAAAAAAAACACAAAAAGAAAAAAGAATCACTCATTGCTTCGTCTCTCTACAATCATATGCGTTACATTTCTCTCCCTCCAAAGGGAACTCACTGCGCCCACCAGAATGCGGCGGCAGCGCTCCGCACGCGGCTAGTGCCAGTTGGCGAGAACTGCCATGGCGCCAGTGCCGCCCCAGAAGGCCGCGAACATTGCGCACCGCTTCCAGCCTCCATGCGCCGCGGTCGGCCCGGCGACGCTCCGCATGTCCGCCGGGAAGTCATTGAAAATCAGGGAAAAGGCAATGTACAGCAACATGCCGCCGCCCAGGGCGTTCACCACCCCCTGCAGCGTCACGAACGCCGGGCCCGTCATGGAAGAATTTGTCCCCACCATTGTGATGAGGCCAATCGCGATACCCAGGGGCACGGAGACGGAGAAGATTAGCGTCATTGCCACCTCAGCCAGAACGCTCATGGAAGCCTCCACCAGCCGCGAGCCCAACGCAACTCCCTCCAGCAGCTGGTGGAACGACAAAGCGATAAGCAGCGTCCGCATCTGCGTGTCACTCGCAATCCCCACAGAAAGGCCCAAGAAAACACTGTGTGACGCCAAGCCGAACTCCATTAACACTGCAGCAGCGACACGCCTCGCGCTGTTGAGCCGCGCTGCCGCAAGGGCCCCACGGTTCTGGCAGCACCCACCGGTCTCACAATTCGGTCCTGGTTCCTCTCCACACCCCTCCATACCGCACGCGCCCCCACATGCGCCGCCTTTCTTTTGCGTCCCGCCCTGCTCTCCAATAGTTGTCGAGGTCTGGGCGCCAGCGTCGCAAGCCGCCCAGCTCTGTAGCACGCCGTCCAAGACAGCATCGAACAGGTGCATCAACATCGCCGCAATCATCGCAAATAGCAATGCAAACGCGTCGTACGTATTTGAATTAAGCGCCTTGGGCACACACTCCTCCGCAAAGCTGTGCATGCTGTGGTGAACCATGGTGAGTAGGGAAACGGCCAGCACCACGCCAGTCGCCGCGCACTTGCCAAGGACAAACATGAACGGGCTCAGCTGCAGGCACGGCACGTACTTCCCGGCAAGTGGGATAAGCGTCCCCACAAGCGAGGCCACGAGCAGAACAAAAACGCCCGCTACGTGCAGCCCCACCGAGTACGGCCCCTTTTCACCGCTGCAGCCGCCATGGTGGTGGTGGCCGACGTGTCCGGCGCCCTCGCCGCCGTGCGCCCCGTGGTGTGCCTGGCCGTCGCCGGCGGACATGTTCATCCTCCAAGCGGTGCCACCGCCCGTCGTGGTGCCGCGCAAGACGTCCATTCGGCCCTCAAACAGAGGCACCCAAACGCAGTTACGTTCAGGAAGCCCCAAGACGGCCTCGCTTGTACCTCGTGAACTACTGGAAGGAGACGGCAA